ACATGCTCTGACCCCTGCTTAGAGAAGCTCATGGCCAAGCTCCTCTCCCTAAACCCCCATTCCCAGCAGCTAAGATCCGCATCCCCACCAACACTGAACATCATAAAGAAGCAGGAACAATGTCACCATGCTGGCAACCTCCAGGGTCCAGTAGTGACAGACAGCATCCTACAGATACTCTGCTAAAAAGTCCCCTCCCCCCATGCACCCCTCCACCTGATTGTTCTTGGCTGTGAGTCCTGTTACCTTCCCTCAAGTCTTTGACCAAAGCCTTCCAGAAATCCCTTTCCTATGGGGGTCAGCTATTGTTGGTTTCAGCTGCTTGAAACCAGGAACCCTAACTCAAAGCACCCTCATCCCAGCTGTGCCCAGTACACGAGTCTAAAATTAGTAAGAGGTAGTGAACTGCTCCAGGCCTCACTAGGGAAACCATTAAAGTTACCAGGGTCCAAGACCACAGTGAACCCCAGTACATGTTCCCTTCAATTCACCAGCTTTGGCATGGAAACTAACCAGAGATAACCTTTGTAAATGACATTTATTCTAGGGTTATACAATGTTCCACAGGATTATCCAATATAAATGTCTGTATTCTATCTAGACAAAATCTCCCTAGTAATACACACACCACACACATGCATATTCCTTTGGGTTAGAGGTAAAAGTCCACAGCACCTTAGCCTCTGGGCAGGTACCTAAGATAGTTCATCACTGTCTCATAGGTCTGTGTAGCAGATGCCATCATCATCATTGCCTCTTACAAAACCCCTTGCTCTTACCTTTTGAGTGCATTCAGGCCCAGCTTCCCAGTGGCCACCCCTGCATTTCTTCATCTGGGGACTTCCACCACTTGCCAAACCACTTTGCCTGCCCCCGAGGCAGGCTGGAAGTATGGGAGTTAATGCCCCTGAGAACAGCCCCAAGGAATGACCGATACAAATTGGTCGGATAAACACTCCAGCCTCCTTACCCGTCAGGTGGCATAACTCGGAAGCCTGTGTTTTGCACTGTCACCCTCAAAGGAAAGGAGTCATACTCGCTGTCTTAGTCTGCGAGGGCCAGCATAACAAAGTACCACACAACTGGGGGGCTTTCACAACAGAAATGTATTTTCCTATAGCTCTGGAGGCTGGAAGTCTAAGATCAAGGTGTCCACAGGGTGGATTCCCTCTGAGGTCTCTTTCCTTGGCTTGTAGATGGCTGTCTTCTTGTGTCTTCACATGGTCTTCCCTCTATGCGTGTCGGTGTCCTAATCTCTTCTTACAAGGACACCAGTCAGATTGGATTAGGGCCTGACCTAACAACTTCATTTTAATTACCTCTTTAAAGACCCTGTTCCCAAATGAGATGACATGAGGTCCTGGGGGTTAGGACTTCAACATATGAATTTGGGACGGGGGACAGAGTTCAGCCATAGCAGTTACCACAGGGGCACCTGGCTTGATCATGCACCCTTCGTTAGCCATCCTGCCTTACACCTCATGCCCCTGCTGGTGTTTCTTTCTCCCAGGCTTGCTTCTGGGAAAACCCAAATAAAGACAGTATGGACACTGCCTCCCTTGCGCCAGCCCCTGCCTAGGCTGTCACTGTCACTGTGGATCAGATCTACTACCAGATTGTCATCATGGTAAGTCTGGAGTTCCCATACAGCCTATACTCTGTGCTGGGAACAAGTGCCATGAAGCTCTAGGAGCTCAGGCGTCTTATACTTTGCAGTAAAGAATTCCCTGTATGTGATTGGTTCTCTTGGCAGTTTTGCTCTTCACAACTTCGCTGTGATTGGCTACATGTAAATTAGCTAAGCCTAGTGCATTGATCCTAGTTATGATTAGTGCACATGCCGGTTCTGCACCACACACCCACCCAGCTGGCTGTAGGTTTGATATGGATATGCAGATTAAGCAACCCTAATTTGTTAGTGCTGATAAGATGCTGGACACAGACAGCCGTCCTGTGTGGTGCTGATAAGGTGCTGAGACCAGAACCGAATTTATACTCTCACAGACTCCCACAGAGACCATCCCAGCACAGTCAGGAGCCAGACCCACTGGGTTGAGAAACGGTGACAGAGTCAAGACATCTGGGGGCCTGGTGGCATTTCCTACCTTTATATTGGGTGGTTGGGTGTCACCTCACTCTAGCCTGCCAGTGTGACTCTCCTGATATTACCTTGTTCCACAGCACCACCACCACCACCTCACAACTGCGCCACATAATACAGTTTACAGAATGTCTCCTCCTGCCTCAGCTCCTTTGTGATGAGCCTGCAAACTGATGGAACAGAAATTGTCATCATCACATCATCATCCTTGATATATTTCTATTTTACCCCTCAGGGCTCAGAAACTCTCTCTGTCCCACAGCTCAGGGGCTATGTTACTGAAACTAGAGTTGTAGCCTCTGGTGTCTACACCTGGTCCTCTCCCAGTTGCACTGTTGGGGCTCAGGACACACCACCCCAAAACATGACTGCAGGAAACCAGAAAATGCCACCCCAAAATATACCTCTTTGGCATATTGATTATTTCAAGCTGGTTATTTTGAGAAACTGCAGACATAGTAGTAGCTCTGAAAAACTCCTATTTTGTAAAGGACATTTTCATTAGTAATGGCATCTGTAGCAGGAAGAGAGCTGCTCAACTTTTATGTCCTGAGAGACTTCTATCTGCCTAACAAGGCAACCTTTATTCTCCGGACATTTCTTCTTCTCACTGGCCCAAAATTTGTCTCCAGCACCCCCTCCAAAAGCCCGGAACCCCTATTCCTTTCTGTAGCTCATGAAATGATACAAGCTTCCATCATCTGGCCTTCCTTTGGGTCTCATAGCTTTATGGGACTCCTGTGCAAATGTTCGTAATTAAAATGTTTTTTCTCCTGCTAATCTGTTTCATGTCAGTTTAATTCATAACCCAGCAAAAAAATCTAGATGGGTGCATGTTGTGAACTGAACGCGAGCCCGGGAATCTCGTCCAGCGAGAGGGTCCCAAACCTGGAAGAGAGCGCTCGCCGGAAAAAAAGCAGATAGAAAAGGCGAGGTCTGGAGGGCTACATGCGCTATGCTCACGCAGCAATTTTTTTTTTTTTTTTTTTTTTGAGATGGAGTTTCGCTCTTGTTACCCAGGCTGGAGTGCAATGGCGCGATCTCGGCTCACCGCAACCTCCGCCTCCTGGGTTCAGGCAATTCTCCTGCCTCAGCAATTTTATTTTTGCAACGTGTTTCACTATATACTTTTCTGAAGTTAAAGTTGTTTATGCCAGATCAACATACTTAAGTTACAGTAAGCAAGTTACGCCCAGTAAGTAAGTTAAGCCCAGTAAGTAGGCTACGTCCAGTAAGTAGGTTACGCCCAATAGGTCAAGGTAAGTAAGTTACAGTCACGCCCTGTAAGCTATGGTAAGTAAGTTACAGTTACGCCCTGTAAGCTATGGTAAGTAAGTTACAGTTACGCCCTGTAAGCTATGGTAAGTAAGTTACAGTTACGCCCTGTAAGCTATGGTAAGTAAGTTACAGTTACACCCAGTAAGTTACGGTAAGTTACCAAGTGTAAATACTTAAGTTAATATTTTACAATGAAGGTAACAAGGGTCCAAAATGAACACAATCAAGCAATAAACCATAAGAAGCCAAAAGTGGACACATTGCCTCCCAAGTCCTCATATCCATAAAGTAATGTCTATTAATTATTTAGAATAACATAGTCCCTCTCTCGGTTCCTGCTTTCCCTCAGCTCGACTCCCCCAACCGGGGATCTGTGTCAGGGCTCAAGCTCACCATATGGCGAGGCCCATTTCCTAGGGGCCTCACACAGGAGCGATCCCCACAGGTCTCCCTTAGTTCTCCCTTTTGTTTTTAGATGCAACTCAAAAAGTTTGAGCCGCAATTGTTGAAGGGAGAACACAAGGCGAAAGAGTACCGGGAGAAGGAAATTGTCATGAGTCCAAATTCCTTGTAAATGGGCCTTAACAAGAGGCCACTGTCATTTAGTGTCATTATAAGGAATATTAGTCACCAAGAATAATTACAGTTTGTTCCAAAGCATTAAGTTTTTCAATTTTCTTATCAACATCCATTTGAGTTCCCATCATCCTACCAAGGTCCAGAAACGTTAAGGAACCCCAAAACCTTCAGGCATTTGATCATCTCATCCATGGTGATCTTGTCCGTGATCTCTTTTACACCCGGAGGGTAAGCAACCTTCCCGTCGGCACTCACAATGCCACAGAGGGCAGTGGCAGGCTTGGGCTGTGTGGTGAAGTCCATCCTGGGGGACAACTTTTCTTTCACAGTCCTCTACCAGCCTCTCCTCCTCAAGCGGGCGGAAGGTGCGTCAAGCACTCGGGTCTCTGTCAGGTGGTTGCGCCGCCCTCCCTCGTGGGGTTGCACACAAAGCGGCTCCGCGGGTCCCACCACCGCCAAATTCCCAAGGGCCGCCACTGCCGACTTCTCTCTGGCTGGGCCAGGGCCACCGTCGCCTTCGCTGACTTACTTCCTGCCGAGCTGGGGCGGCCGTCTCTGCTGACTTCTCTCTGGCCAGCCCAGGGAGCTGCGCTGGGGCTGGCGGTGCCGAGGAGCAGCCGCCACAGGAGGAGACGCGGGGCGAGTGAGCGCTGGGACCGCCTGCCCGCACCTCACACCGACCTGGGTAGCCTCCTCGGACCTGGATGCCCCTCGCAGTGGCGCGCACTCGGCAGTCTGTGTCCCGGGAGCTAGCACCTCACACACACACCAGCCAGTCACGTGAGTGGCGCAAGAGCACGCGAGTGGCGCAAGAGCACACGAGAGCAGTGCATGCTCCATGCTCCCTCAGTTTTAAGTTTAATCTCAGAATCCACAACCCACAGACAAAGCTCACGCACTATGTGCACAAATTCCTCAACAGTTTTAAGTTTAATGTCACGACCATGTGACTTAATCATATGTTGCAAAAGCTGTCCAATTTATGCTCTTTAGATTCTATTTGCCTCACGTTTTACTCCAGATGAAAAGGTTATTCACTCACTTACTCTGCAGCTTCACCTCTATAGTTTGTAGGCATCACGGTTGTCCCTCGTGTCCAGGCCCCACGTTCCGGGCGCCAGCTGTTGTGAACTGACTCGCCCCACATTGGGCGCCAGCTGTTGTGAACTGAATGTGAGCCTGGGAATCTCGTCCAGCGAGAGGGTCCCAAACCTGAAAGAGAGCACACGCCGGAAAAAAAGGAGATAGAAAAGGCGAGGTCTGGAGGGCTACATGCGCTATGCTCATGCAGCAATTTTATTTTTGCAATGTGTTTCACTATATACTTTTCTGAAGTTAAAGTTGTTTATGCCAGATCAACATACTTAAGTTACAGTAAGCATGTTACGCCCAGTAAGTAAGTTAAGCCCAGTAAGCAGGCTACGTCCAGTAAGTAGGTTACGCCCAATAGGTCAAGATAAGTAAGTTACAGTCACGCCCTGTAAGCTATGGTAAGTAAGTTACAGTTACGCCCTGTAAGCTATGGTAAGTAAGTTACAGTTACACCCAGTAAGTTACGGTAAGTAAGTTACCAAGTGTAAATACTTAAGTTAATATTTTACAATGAAGGTAACAAGGGTCCAAAATGAACACAATCAAGCAATAAACCATAAGAAGCCAAAAGTGGACACATTGCCTCCCAAGTCCTCATATCCATAAAGTAATGTCTATTAATTATTTAGAATAACATAGTCCCTCTCTCGGTTCCTGCTTTCCCTCAGCTCGACTCCCCCAACCGGGGATCTGTGTCAGGGCTCAAGCTATGACACAGGTGAGGTCCCATTTCCTAGGGGCCTCACACAAGATCGATCCCCACAGGTCTCCCTTAGGTGCAGGGAAGAATTTTTCCTTCCCCGACAATGCCTTGCACCCTGCTTCAACAAACACGTGGCTGGCAATGCTGAGGCAGCCCCAGTCTCCACCCCCTCTGCTCCACGTCCTGGGGAGTAGCCTGGGCAAGGTGGGTGGAGTGGTGCCCCCGGACTCTCTCGAAGGTTCTGCAGCCTCACTCACACACCAGCCTGATTCCATCTCTCCCCAACCCCAGTGTGGTTTTCAGTTAGGGCTTTTCCCAAATCCTGACCTTGGCCTCGCCTAGAGGTCCAGCTGTTTCCAATTGCAGGAGCTGAGGTGGGGGTGGGCAGGAAAGGTCCTATTCCCACCAAGTCTCAATGTAGCAAGGAAATGGCAGGCCCTGACAGAGCTGTGCTCAGAGCACTTTGGTGCCTCAGATGGATTTATTCAAAGTTCATAATTACCCTGAAATCTCCTAAAATGAAAACATGATTGAAGAATTAAACCTGGTAAACAAATTAGTCAGAAAGAAAACTTCCGCATAGCAAATGACAAAAACCAAAAAATCCAATCCAGCAAATGAACGGGCTTGCACTGTAATTGGCAGCCGGCATTGCACACAAGCCTGGGCCCTGGCAAAGGCAGGACTGGGGAGCAGCCGGCCCCTGCTGCAGGGGAGCCTGGACCATGGGAACGCTATGGTCAGTCAGGTGGCCAGGACCTGCAGAGGGATGTGGCAAGAGCCTCTAGTGAGCCACAGCTGCGTGGGAAGTTGTGGCTGCAACTGGGCTCCACTGAAGCCCACGTTCAGGGGCTATGAGCCTCCCTCCGGCCAGGGCTGGAGAGAAGACAGCTGTGGAAAGCCCAAGAGATGCTTTCTCAGGCTGAGACGGACTGCTTCTCTTTTCTGTGCCCCTCTCCCCATCTCATCCCTCAGAACCACCGGGAATTGGGCTGAGGGGAGGGTCTACACACACGAGATCTTCTTTCTTTCTTTTTTCTTTTTTGTCTGTGAATCAGATCTATTTCTCAGGAGCCACTAAACCCCAGTTTGAGGCTTTCTCTCTCCCAAACAGGAGGGGTGTCCTGGTTACTGTTGCTGTGTGACAAGCTACCCCCAAACAAAGTGGCAGAAAACAATCATTTGATTAGACTCACAGATTCTGTGTGTCAGGAATTCAGCCAGGGGACAGCAGGGACTGCTTATCTCTGCTTCATGATGTCTGGGGTCTCAGCTGGGAGACTCTATGGCTGAGGGTGGGGCTGGAATCATCTGGAGGTCTCTTCACTCATAGGCCTGGGGATGCAATGCTGGCTGTTAACGGGACCCCAGCTAGAATTGCAGATCAGAACACCCACAGGGAAACTATCTGGGCAGTGGTGGGCACCTGTAGTTGAAGCTACTCGGGAGGCTGAGGCAGGAGAATTACTGGAACCCGGGAAGCAGAGGTTGCAATGAACCAAGATCGTGCCACTGCACTTCAGCCTAAGCAACAGAACAAGACTCCATCTCCAAAAAAAAAAAAAAAAGAAAGAACACCTACAACTGACCTCTCCATGTGACCTGGGTTTCCTCCCAGTGTGGTGGCCACAGGGCAGTCAGATGGCTCGTATGGTAGCTCAAAGCTTCAAAGGCAAATGTTTCCACAAAAAAGGCAGTCACTGCCTTATAGTTTCTGAGCCACCATTGGAAGTCATGCAGCATCCCTTCGCCATGCTCTCTGGGTTACAAGTGAGTCACAAGCCCACCCAGATTCAAGAAGAGGGGCACAAGAAGATGCCACAAGAAGATGCCACATCTTCAAGAAGATGCCACATTTTGGTGGGAAGAATTTTAAAGAATTTGTGAGGTTTAAAACCTACGACAAGGAATTCCTACTGGTGCAGCTCCTCTTGGCAAGATCCTATCACACTGCAGTGACAACTGATCCTTTTTCTTGGGTTCCAACCCCTGTTCTGCCTCATGGGATCTGCAGTGGGCTGAATGGTGGCCCTGCAAAACCTATGCCCGTGTCCTAAACCCAGAACCTGTGCATGTGACCTTATTTGGAAAAAGGCTCTTTGCAGATGTAATTAAGCATCTTGAGATGAGATGATCCTGGATTATTCGGGTGGGCTCTAAATCCAATGACGGGGTCATTACAACAGACATACAGAGGAAAGACACACAGAAAGAAGGGGGCAAGAAGATGGAGGCAGAGATTGGAGTGATGCAGCCATAGCCACGAAACACCTGGACCCCCCAGAAGCTGGTCGAGGCAGGGAAGGACCCTTCCCGAGAGCCTCCAGAGAGGGTGTGACCCCACCAACACTGTTTCAGACTGCTGGCCTCTGGAACAGCGAGAGAATCCATGCCTGTTGTCAGCCACCCAATCTGGGGTACTCTGCTCCAGCAGTCCCAGGAAATGAATACACCATCCATGGAACCCTGGCCAAGTGGCCTTCCTTCACTGAGTCTCAGTGAAATGGGGATAAATGAAATGGAGATAAAAATAGTATCTGCCTCCTTGGGTGGCTGGGAGGATTAGGGAGATAAGCAGTGGAAAGTGCTTAGCCCAGTACCTGGCAGTATTCTAGCGTGGTTGTTACTAACACAGTCCAGAGAAACAGATGGAGGGCCATTAAAATGAAGTAAAAACAGATTAGAAAGACAATGGAATGAAACACAAAAGTGGATGATGCCGTACCTACTCTCTCCAAGAGTTCTGTGCCCCCTGCCTCAGACTCAGGTGTGCCCAGGACCACAGGAGCCACTCCTTCACAACCATGTGGCCCACCCTGCCAGCTCTCTCCTTCGCTGCCTGTCCACAAGGATGCTTCTCTGTTCCCCTGGCCTGACGGTCCTTGCTGGTGTGGTCGCTGCTGCTGGGCACTCTTAGACCCTGAGGTGTCTGCAACATCTTGACTCCCCACCTAGACCGTCATCATCTCCAGGGCAGGAGCTCTGCTTCTCCCTTTAAGCTATTAATGCCATTGCCATATAGAGCAAACACAATTATCAAAGCTGGATGACGGAATCATGGGAGATCAGAACATTATTCTGGCTACTTAAGTGCATCATCTTAACTTTTCCATAATAAAGCACTAAAAAAAAAATGCCAACTGTCTCAGGGCAGGTTCCTCAGGAAGCAGACTCAGAAGTGGAGTTTAAGGGGCAGGGGGGTTATTAGGGAGATTGGCACCATGGCCTGGGAGACGGAGAGAAGAGAGCAGGATTGGACAGAGGGAGCTGACAGCTATGAGGCAGGCTCAGTGACGAGCCTCTGCTGACCGCCAGACCTTGGGGAGCCCCGCAGCTAGAATGACCCTCTAGAGTTGGGCTCCTTTCCTACGGCTGTGGAACAAATGACCACTTACTTCTGGGCTTACAACACATTTATTCTCTTATAGTTCTGGAGGTCAGAAGCTTAAAATCAAGGCATCAGCCGGGCTGATTCCTTCGGGAGGCTCTCGGGGAGAAGCTGTTTCCTTGCCCTTTCCAACTTCTAGAAGCCACCTGCATCCCTTGGCTCATGGCCCCTTCTTGCACCTTCAAAGCTAGCCATCACATTTACTCTGACCTCTGCTCCTGTTGTCATGTCTCCTTTTCTGACTCTGATCCTCCTGCCTCTCTCCCTTATAAGAACCCTTGCGGTGACATGGGGCTAGCCAGGATAATGCCAGACAACCTCCCCATCTCAAGATCCTTAACTTAGTCACACCTAGAAAGTCCCTTTTGCCCTGTAAGGTAACAAACATATTCACAGGATCTGGAAACTAGGACATGGCCATCTTGTGGGGAAGGAGTAGAAATTATTCAGCCTGCCATAGAGTTGTCCAGATATGCCCAGAAGTGACTAAGCCTTTATTCCCCCATATTAAAAGGTCACTGGAAGGGTATGACATTCAGGAAGACACTCTCTGTAGATGAGACAGACCCTTAAGGTCCCGACAGCTGGAGGGAGCCTCTGAAAGCATCCCTGCAAACTGGGACAGCAAGTCCTTCCTTGAAGGGGGTCTGAGCGGTGCCTCACAGCTCCTCCTGTAGCACTCCAGCCCGAAATCCTAGCACAGGAATGAACACCAGGTAGGCCCTCAACCTTGGGCTTTAGGTGTATAAGTCGCCACCAAGAGGCTCACCCTCAGAGGACTCCCCAGGAATAGATCATAGTGACAATGGCACCCCCGACCGAGCAATGCCATCTGCCCAAGACCTGCACCAAGCCTGGTGCTTGCACCACTTCACTGAGTACCCACCCCAACCCTGTTACTCTTCTGATTTATTTGTACAGAGAAGGAAACCAAGGCTCAGGAAGATGAAGTCCTTTGCCTGAGGTCACACAACCACAGTCAAGGCAGGACTTAAACCCATGTCCTTCTCGATGTCCAACACTATGACATCATCCAACCGAAGTGTTGCAGCTATGCATGGAATGAACCAGAAACTCAAAGACCAAAAGGGTCCCTTTCACTGTCACTAGGCCTTGCCTTGTCAATCTGGATATGTCCTCGTGTGACTCTGCCAAAATCTCTCCAGGTGGAGGGTGGTCCTCATCCTGTCCCCACCTCACCAGCTGGCACAGAGAGCCACACCAGTGTCTTTAAGAGATTCTCATGTATTTCTGCTGGGAATGAGAAAAGGTGCAGCAACTGTGGAAAATGGTGTGCCAGCTCCTCAAAAAGTTAAACAGAGAATTACCATATGAGAAAAAAAGGATTACCATATAATCCAGCAATGTCACTTCTGGGCATATATCCCAAAGAGCTGAAAGCAGGGATTCCAACAGATATTTGTACACTCCTGTTCATAGCAGCATTATTCTTAATAGCCAAAAGGTGGAAGCAACCCAAATGTCCATAAACAAACAAAATGTGGTATATTCATACAATGGGATATTAGCCTTAAAAAGGAAGAAAATTCTGAAACATGCTACAACACAGATGAATCTTCAAGACAGTATGCTAAGTGAAAGAAGCCATGGGCTGGGCACCGCGGCTCACGCCTGTAATCCCAGCACTTTGGAAGGCTGAGGCAGGCAGATCACCTGAGGTCAGGAGTTGGAGATCA